GTCGATTCACAAATTACGAGACGAACGTAATGTGATTCTGTAATTAGTTGAGATGTAACGACTTCTTATCTACATTAGTATTGGTTATTTAAAGTGCTTCGTACAATGTTGAACGTTTCTGCGTCAAATCATATATCTATTACAAACAGTAAATACAAACTTGTATTTACTTTACTAAATAACATCTAAACAGCTCTGAAATTAGATTTCAGATTTTAATTAAAACAGTATCTTGTTTAAATTAGGGATAAGAGCTTACTGATTAAGTTTTCCTTTCATTTATAAAAGCGAGCTTTCTGCGATTTATACTTAACATAAACGCTGTAAGAAAAATAACACTTATCTTTTAAATATTACCATTGAGTATTACTTATTTAAGTTGCACATTTAACAATCGACTATTTTATATGTCTACAGGGTGTTAAAATTATCAAAAACAAAAGCATGTGATAATTAGAGGAAATTCGGATTTATTATCCCAACGCCAGGGCCCAAATAACAGACCCATTACCCAAATTGAGGGCACGCCCCTTAATTAAATAAAACGGTCACAGCCGACCTACATCTCAACTTGTATATTATATAAATTGACAGTTTATATAAGCACAAATAATATTAATAATTAATCGCTGATTAATGGGAAGAACCCAATAAATTAGTAATTGGATGATTCCCTCTAATCTTAATTACCAGATAAAATAGAGCAATTCTAGTCTTTAATTTATTAAACTTCTGAGAGCGATATTAAATTGCAAATTGTCTAGACCGATAATTGCAAAAGAAAATGTATAATTAAATCAGAATAAAGCTTTAAGATGCTCCGAGCGTTTCGCCGAAAGACCCTTGTCTATAATATTAGGAATAGTAAACTAAATAAGATGAAAATAGATTGACTGTCAAGATCAAATCAGCAGTTGTTACAAATACTTGACGTTATGTATATTCGTACTTTGACGTAGAACTTTCTAGATAGTCATCGAAGATTCATCTTCACAGTTCGCAATTCCACGTCGTATTCCGTTTACGGCAGCCACGCCTTTACCAGATACGGAGCAAGATTACCTTTAAGTAATTCAGAGAGTCAAAGCTAATTTTATATTTGAAACCTCCAAAATTCTTTATAACTCTATTCGAAATAGAATTAATTATTCATTCTCATAAAATTTCGGACGAAATTATAAAATTTTCTTCATTTTATAGGCTTTAGTAATGTCGACTAATATTAATGGATTTAACTAAAGAAAGCGTATTTGTTCGTTATATGAAAAGAAATGTATACAAAATGAAAACGAGAACACGACTGCAGTAAGCCTTAATGAGAAACATGTTTTGTTAAACAAATTAAACTGTAAATGAATGAACATTTTAATGAAAAGTCTTTCTTCTTTTGTCTCCCTTTTCATCATTCAATATGACGTACACATTACAGCTACATTTTCTGTTTTATGAGAGAAGATGGCAAAAAAAACAGCCACCTATAAAACAGTGGACTAGCACTAACGAAATACATGTACAAAAAATGTTTTAATTTTTAAGCCCGCTATAGACATTCCGTTATAAGATCTGAGCTAGTATAGCAAGCTTATTGTCTTTAAAATACATGTTTTTGCAGTTGTTTTAGCAGTGAAAACGCACGGTCGGGGTGTCGAAACTAATCTATACATCAAATACTGCAATAAAACATTCAACATTGATTACTTTTGAATGCATTAACATTGATATAAATCATTTAATCTATCTACATATTGTCCCTGATTAATGCAGGGCACGTCCCTAGCTCCCGTCGTCATCCTTGTGAGAGTAAATATCGCGTGAGTGATAGATTACTCGCCTGACATCGTTTTTATTACAAAAAACTCTCAGGAGACTATCAATGAACTGCAAATCATCATTGAACTTTTAAAACCTACATATCACGGTGAGATGCTTTAAAAAAAAACATATTTTTCTTCGTAAAATTTTAATTTGCATATTCAAAGCACATTAACAAAATTTTATTTATGAAAAAACCGGTTGAAACTTAAATATTACATCTGGATTTATACCACTACTTATCCTTTGTTTACACACTTTGAATAAAACTCTACTTTCTAAGTGGACAAATTACATAATAGAATATTACTAGACGGGAGTGATTGAAATACGAGTATGTCGATAGAGTATGGAAGATCATACTTTGCTGACATTCTGTAATGAGCTATAACTTACGTTCTATTTGGCGGCAGGGCGGCGCGGTCTTTAGAGCGGACGCGCGCGCGCCGTTCGCATCCACCTGTGGACAATAAAACAAGCATTTACAAACATATTCTCATATTACTGTTTTCTGTCAAAACATATTGTCGTCTTTCTTATTCTTCTCGAGAAATAAAGATAGTATATTTTACAGATCTATCAGCGATGAACGTTAAACAAAAGATATTCCACTTATTTCATTGGTGTGGAATTGTTGAAACATTTTCATTAAGTACATGACAACGAGGGGAAACTTCTCGAAAGTTCTATTATAATAAAGATCGTAAACTCTGAACAAGTGATGAATATAACAAAGTAATTCAAGTCTCTCGCCACATATCTCGTTTGATTCAAATATCACAATGAAAAAGCATTTAATTATTAATAAAAAAAGTTTAAAATACCTGTTCCAAATGCAATTTAAATTTACTATACAAGTGTTACCTTGCTTGAATGCTTTAAATGACTTTATAATTACGATCTTAAATATTTATTTTAAAACTTCATAATCTTAAATCTAAAGAGTATGAGTTATTGAAATACAATAATCCGACTTAACAAATTACTTTTCAAATTAAAATAATTTCGAGAAAATTAAAGCTTAAAGTTTACGTAATAAGAAACTTCTTATTTTGATTCGGTTAAAATTCGTAAAATATTCACTTAAGACCGTATAAAATTTAACTTATTAAAAACTTGTCTTATTATTATCGAAAACATGTTCAAGGAACAAGGAACAAGGTGTTCAGTCTTAAAACCTTACACTGATAAGATATTTATTTTTGTATCAATATGTGATACAAGATAAAACTTTTCAAATTTAATGGTGACAGAGATCAGTAATGGGTACCCAAATTGTCAACCTTTTGTTAACCACGAATTTAAGAAGCTTAAGTATAATGTTACCAATTATTTTCATTCAGAAATCCATGTAATAAATAGTATCACAGACAAAAGTAGTACTAATACAATAGAAGAACCACAGAGAGATGGATCCAACCAGTGACAGCTAATTTCACCAAAAATATTTATAAGAAAATATATATTCACGATTCGTTACAATAATTGGAAACATGATCGTCTTAAAGTTCCGATCTCGTTAAGATAGCAATAATACTGAGATATCTCTATAGAGTACCTGCGCTAATGACGTTTAGATAAAGCTCTCCTTCCAGATAGAGTGTTCCCTTTGTAATGAAAGTGGGTATTAACAACTCTGTGAATCCCTCTCATCGGAGATTAGCCGTACCTACGAGGTCAACTCTAGATGTATAACGTCTTTAAACCTATTAAGTTACCGTTAAGGGGATTCAATTTCGCTCAAGTTTTCAACGTTTTGTTTACTGTTTAAACAGAATTAACTAAGAGGATCTTAGATATTTAATAAGGACTTGAAAAGGAAAAATAACCTTCAATGAATTTCTATGAAGTAACGAATTACATGTAATAAGTAAAATCTGTGTTTTTAAGATATTATCAAATGTGTTTTTAACATACACGTGTTGGCTTTAATGTAGGTAGTTCTAAATTATATTGATAAATCAGTCTGATGCCAACCGCCATTTCATTGATATCCCAAATATTACAAACCTATAACGCAAAGACGGTGAATAAATCCAAGATATGTATGGAGTTAACCCGAATGTTTTTCTGCAGTCTACTGCAATGTGTAGTCTAGTGTTAATTTGGTTTCTCTCTTTTATCAAAGATAAGAAAAGGGACAGCAATACATATTAATAGAAGATACCACTTTGGAATTGTAGGATAAGCACTCTCCTAATTCAACTCCTTCACTTGTTTCGCGACTCTCAACTTTTTAGTAATATTAAAATATCTGAACAAAACTTCACATTTAATAAAGCAACACTTCTTCTTATGTATTCTTACACAGAGGCACGCCGCCGGCTCCTGTAATTACATTTCCCCTACATTTACCTCGGGAGGCTTTTACCGAGGAAAACCAATAAGCCCACGTATGCTTTACTATATTGAGTGCTCACCTTCGTTGAATTTAAAAGGCTTTTATTATATACAATTTAAATAAGCTTATTGAGGATGTTATCACATTGAATATGTTTACAAAATATACAAAAAACCTGTAGCTTTTGGTAAAAGGAAAAGTGAAGGCATAAAAACATAGTAATTATCATATTTCCTTTCGCTAAACGTAAACAATTTTGTCTGATGTAATAATATATATTTTTGTAATGGTCTATAAACATAATAGCCAATAACAACAATCTACGAAATTTAACGTAAACAATGTTTGCGTTCGATAAACAATTTCGATCACGGACTCCGGACATCGTTAATAAAAATATAATACGACCTACTTTTATCAACAAAACAATAACCTTTAATAAAATTCAATTTTTATTTTTATTATTTAATGTCTACACCAAAATGGAATCGAAAAAAAAATAATTGAAAAACAATTAGCAATATATCGTTAACTTTTCCATGAAAAACACATCATTTTCCATGATGAGAATGTATGTGAAAAATAGACTGCAAACTTCGACTTAGCTTTTGTTATCACTTATTATGCGATGGCAGTTATAAGCTAGTTTGACCTATCACGTGAAACTAACATTAAAATTGTCCTTGGCAACCCTTACGTGACGTATATCGGTGCAAGGCGGAAGTGCGGAAAGCCTACTGCACGCATGCACTCTGCGACCTCGCCTGCATGACGTCAGAGCCCATATAACGTCACCAGCCAGCCCACAAACAATACACCGCTTTGTAACACAATACGATTTCACGAGAGGAAACAACAGTTCAGTTGTATAAACATCCATTTACGCGGACACAGCTTTTATAGATATCATATACTAGCTGATCCCATACGGCTTCATCCATACGAAATTATAAAAACTCTGTTTTATTTTCTATATTTCTCAAAGTTTCAATTTCCAATGTCAAAATGTAAATGCACAAATGACAACCATGGCAATCTTGCTTCCTTAATGTTGGCAGCTTGTAGTTTATGGTCCTTTCACACATGGAGGTTTTTTTTTTCAATTTACTTACCCCTAGGTTTAATACTGTGAAAACATATAGCGTAAAGCGTGTCGTAAGTGTAGGGTTGTTTATAAAAATTGTTATTATTCAAAAATATGCTGTGGTTGCTGAAATCCTACGCCACAAAATAGTATGTGTTTACGCTTTATTATATTAGTATCGATATAGATTAATTTGAAATACTGTTATTTTATCAACACTGTAAATAAAAATACGAAGAAAGTTGTTGCATTAATCGTAAACCTTTATCACTACAACTTCTATAAATATGGGCAAAGTCTTAAAGTCGAACTTTGGGACCTACGTCCTCTTATGAATACTATAGGTATTAAAATGGCGCTTAAAAATGTAAGTAATCAAGTTGTCATGCAAATCAGACATTGTATGTACCGAACCAAAGAGAGGAACAAAGCATGACTGTGACATTTTAAAGCTCTACAGACGTTTTAAGCCGAGTATTTATAGTTGCATCAATCAAAGCGTGCGTTATGCACGGCCGTCACTCCGGACGACAGCTGTGCAAGATACTGACACCACAAACACTTATGTCCTTTCATTTTTATCCAGAGCAAATTAATTTTAAACCGGTATCCATTTTTAAGACGCTCCAACGTTCATTTTGTTAATGTGAAAATTGTAAATAAAAAACAAGACTTGTTAGCAGTTGACATACTTCTTGTGTCACTTTTGGATTCCAATAAGTCTGCTCGAAAGCTGTGATAACTTAATTCCCCTGCAGACATAATCCTACATATTCTTAGCTCTAACAGTTACCTATTCACGCATAGTTTCAACTGACAGTTGTACTGTTCAATTAAAACTGTCAGTACTGAGTGTCTGTAGCGGCCTAGATTAACAACAATGCTCTCAGTTTTAGACAATTTGTATTTTGTACTAAAAACGTTGGTATTAGAACATTTACCAGTAGTATCAAATAGGTTAAAAAGCAAGGCGTGGCAAGTTAGGCAACATCGATACGGCGTGCCCGAATCGGTGACCCGTTAACCCGGTACATTGCTCCCGACAATTAAGCTATTGCGTAAGTCAATGTCAGCTATACATTCCGGCAGCTTCTTTTACGGCTAGGGTTGCCAAAAATAGTTTCACTCAGACTTTGTTATGAGGAAAGTTTTCTGTGGTTTTACCTTTAACGTTAAGATTTACTAACGCCATGGATTTGGTTTGAATTTTCTACTTTAATTGATCACTAAGGTAGTCTCTTAGCGTAGATTTAGTATAAGAAATTTATACAAAGTAACTATTTAAGTAACCATCAAACGTCGTTGATCTATAGTAAATGATGAAATATACATCTTACATATTTAAAATACAACTTAAAACGTGACAACCCTATAAAGGTGCTGTGACGTCCATTGCCTTGTCTGACGCAGCCATGTTTATCACTAAATGTTCGTTTAGAATTACATTTTCTTGCACCGCATGGGCCGTTTAAAACGCAATCACGACACGATAATCGAGCGTTTATGAATGTATTAAACATCGATTATGTAACCGTCTGTTAAGTATTTTTACTCATCAGATATCATATAACTTTGATTGTATTTCCAATATTGAATTGAAAACAAATAAGCCTTACTTTTAATTGTTTTCTCGTGAACCTTTGGATAAAAAGCCTTTCCAACCATAAAATCCAAGACACACAATGTACTAAATACTAAATTCAAAATCACATCTAACACCAATAACCGTTTTGTTTCCACTATTGATTTGATTTACGTTCCAGTCTATCGGAAGTTGATCAAACAAACCTAAACACGTTTAGAATTAGAATGTTTATAAAACACATGTAGTTTATGATTTTCCAATCCTACTGAGTAACATCTGTACAAAAACACGTCAGCCCACTCATATTTGATAAAACAGAGATAATAAACTAACTAAAAATATTTGCGAAAGTTATTTTTTTTAATTTTTTTTTCCTTTATTTCCTGCTGCTGTGTTTCTTGCAGCAACCTTGTTATCTTTGTAGTTATTTTTTTTTTCTAGTTCTTTACC